CTGTAGCCCTCCAGTCTCTTCTCTCCATGGAATTTCCCAGGCTAGAATACTGAAGTGGGTCGCAATTTCCTTCTCCAAAAGATCTTCCCAGCCCAGGAATCGAACCTGCGTCCTCTGCAGCAGCAGGTGGTTTCTTTACCACTGAGCCATCAGGGTAATCTAGGTCTCTGGGGAGATGGAGCTGTATAGATATTTTGTAGAATTTAAAACATTTAACTGCAGTCTTCATAATTTTATTTTTAATAGTGATATAAATTCAATCCATGGAGGTACCATAACTTATTTGTCTTTGATATTCATTTTCATTTTCAAGGAGAATATTTGTATTGTTGAATTCAAATCATTGTTTTTCCATTTTCATAGGTATTTTGAATTTTAAGATCAGAAAGCATTTAGATGGGTAGCAGGACTGACTTGTTTTATTTTTGTCTGAGATTTAAATTTAAATTGTAAATGAGTGTCAGTAGAAGCCAACAGCTTTTAAATTAATTCCTTTGGGTCTGCAATGGTTTCCAAAAGTTTAACTGAATAGTTTAATTGCACTCTTTTAAAGAATTTTAAAGTAGCTACAGCCTTGAGATCTGCACTGAATTACTTTATGTTGGGAAATTTTTGGCAGACGGTATACAGTCATCATTCAAAAACAAGTTACATTGTCTTTCCCAGCTTGAATTAGTGGAACATTAGCATTGAACTTTTCATTTTGAATGAACATGTTGGAAATTATTTCCTGCTAAATGTTTGTCATCAAGTGAAGTTTTATTTTAAAAAATTAATGGAGCATATCAGTGCAGCAGCCTTAGAAAAATAGCTGAGGCACAGGGTTACTCTTGGACAACCTTTTAAGTTCCTTATTATCATTTGAGTGTACATACTTAATAATCTTCTGGGAAACTAAAATATGGTACTTTTTAAGACCAGAAACTTTAAAGTATGATATTTAGCTGCTAACAGACAGCTGTTAATGACTACTTAGCGTTGTATTTACTTTCTGGGTTGGAACTAGGGATAGAGCAAGCCGATGGATTGATGATGTGAGAAAACACCACATTCATTGTTAAAATATATTTTAAAGTATTAGTTTTTACCTTTATCAGTAAATGAAAGATGACATTAATTTGAAATACTTGGAATAAGTGTGTAATCCGTAGAATTAACTATATCTCAAATGCTCTTAAAAAAAATCCAGATTCCTTCTTTGAGAACAAGTCCTATCATTAGCAAATAGGGTAGCCAGAAGAATATTTAAGTAATATCAGCATTATGTTTGTGGAAGATGAATTGAAGTTCAGTATCTTTATCTTTCAAAATGTTATTTTGTTCTAATCCACCTAGCTTTGTGAAAAATAGGCAGTGGGTTGTGTTGGATAACAGGTAGTTAAATTTGACTCATTTCTCTCATCATATATCCATATTTTTGTGCCATCTGAAATCCCTTCTCTAAGACTTTTTAATAGCTTTCATTCCTTCCTGTTAAAACACATGTTCATTACATTAAGTTCCATATTTATTAAGCAAAGTGCTTTTAAATATAGTGGGGAGGGAAAATAAGCAAACTAGGCCTCCTCCCAAACTTATTCTAGTCTGTTTGGGTAGACATACAGGTTACAGATTCTGTGTTAAGATACTTTTGGTTATCATGGCAAAAAGCAATTTTAAACTGGCTTAAGCAAGGAGCGGGATTTATGGGCTCATATAGATGGAAGATCGGCCTTGGCATGGGTTGCATCCAGATATTTCATGTAACATGTAGAATTTATCTCATTTATCTTAGCTCTACTTTCTTCTGACTTGGATTCATTCTCAGGCAGTATCTCCTCAATTGGTGGCAAAGATGGCCAAAACAGTGCCAGGCTTACATCCTGTCAGCTTAGCAACCTCAGTGACAAGCTTCCTTTCCAAATAGTTCCAGAAATTCTGGCATTAAGTCTGGTTTGGCCATACTTGAATCTTCTGGAGTCGGGGTACCTTGGGGGGTGGGGTGGGTAGTGAGGATGGTCTGGCTCAGTTCAAAGTAGATAAAACAAAAGAAAGACAAGTAGTTTCCAAAAAGGAACTTATAAATTCTGCTATCAGAAGGAAGGATGCTGAGCAGGCAAAAGCAGCATACAAAAGTAAAGATAAACATTTTTAGTTGAGCTATAATAAGAAGATAAATTCTGATAGAAGGTGCTTAAGTAAAGCTTCAGACAGGAGACTATATTTTGGATTGGGCTCTGAAGGGCAAGTAGAGTTTTTCTGAGGCAGAGTGAGTAAAGAAAGGACTTTCTAGGTCACTCATTTGAGAAGTTTGGCAGTGAAAGGAGAAAAAACGAAAACTACTAGAGTCTAAAGGGAATGTTCAGATATTTTCTCCCTCAGTATAGAGAAAATCTGAACATTTTTATGGTAGAGGAGCAGAAGCAAGTAAAGGAGAAATTAACAGTGCAAAGGAGTCAGTCATTGACACAGAAGGGAAATTCAGTAGGATCAAGGATATAAGTGGAGGGGGCCTCCTTAGAAAGGAAAAGGGATTGTTTATTCTCTGAGGACATGTAAGGGATAGTAGTAGTGGTGACTACAGAGGTTAAAATAGAAATTTGTTATTAAATATGTAAGTGGCTTCAGTTTTGTTTTCTAAAAGTAAGAAGAGGTTTACCAGTTATCTGTTGCTATGTAACAGACCATTCCAAAATGATTTTGTGCATGAGCAATTCGACTTGAACTCAGGCTGGGTAGTTTCTTCTGCTCGCCCTGGGTCACTCATGTGGCTGTGGTCATCCCAGCTGTGGATGGCTGGTCTGTGGTGGTGGCTGCACTCCCACACTTGTTGGTTGGTGCTGGCTGTTACCTGGACCTCTCTCTGTGCCTTCTCATCCTCACGAGCACTCACATGGCAGTGGCTACACTCAGGGGGAGCTGAAGCAGTCAGTCTAGATGGTAGACTCAGATGTGAAAGACTTATGATGGACTTAGAACTGCCACAGTGTCACTTCTTTCACATTCTGTTGGTCAAAGCAAGTCACAAGGCCAACTCAGATCAAGTAGAGAAAGACCCCACCTCTTTATGGGAGGAGTAACAAAGTTGCATTGCAAAACAGATGTGTATACTGGAATGGGAGGAATTTCTGCCTATCCCTCCCCCAACATTTTATTGTGAAAATTTTCAGTCATGAAACCAAGTTGAAAGAATTTCAAAGTGAATATCCACGTATCTACTACCTAGATTCTACTATACCTGCTTTATTATATATTTATCCATCTATCATTCTTTTATCAGTTTATCTTATTTTTGATGCATTTCAAAATAAATTGTAGATATTAGTTCTTTTCTGTAAGTACCTGCTGCATGTATTTAGCAAGTCAGTGTTCAGTTTTTTTCTTTTGATAAAAAACATTTACATACAATGAAGTGTACAGATGTTAAGTGTATGTCACACCTAGTTTTGTAGCCTGCCAAAGAAGGGGAAAATTTGGGATAGCTTTTCAGTGAAATGACTCAATTTCAGCTCTAGTTGTATAGAAGAATTGCAAAAGGTATCTTTCTTGAATATCTTTCTTCATATCCTTATTGCTAATAATTTATTATTTAATATACCTCAACACTTAGGGTTTGCATTTGTGTTACATTCTTTGAATTCACTTTGGTCAGCTCTCTACCTCCTTTCACTAAATATTTGTAAGGATATAAATGGGCGCTCTCTTGCTTTACAGGTATTCAAACTATGTGTATCTCAAGTCAAGTTAGATTAACAGTGCGTACCTTCTCAGTCGTGTCCGACTCTTTGCAATCCCTGAGACTGAGCCCACCAGGTTCCTCTGTCCTTGGAATTTTCCAGGCAAGAATACTGGAATGGTTGCCATTTCCTACTCCAGGGGATCATCTCAACCCAAGGACTGAACCTGTGTCTCCTGCATTGGCAGGTGGATTCTTTACCACCGAGCTACCTTTCGTACAACTGAGTAACTAAGCATTCATGCATGTGTGGAAAAGTTTTAATAAACTATCTTCTAGTTTATGAATAGCAGTTTGAGAAGGAGAAATTTTAGTATTGTAACTATTGATTTAACTTCAGATAATCAGAATAGAAGTGCGAACAGAACTATGTGGCAAATTCAGCCATAATTTAACCTTTGAGTGGAGTATTAGAGCTTCTTACAACCTTAACACTTGCCTTATTATTCTAATCTATGTTACCGTGTACATTTTTTAAATTTCTAGAATATTGTAAGTCCTTAGTTTTTCATATGATGATTTGACTTGATAAAATAAGTTACTTGCTTTTATTTACTAGATATTGAATACTTTTATTGCTAATTGACTTTTGAGCCTTTTTACAAATAGCAAAAGATTGAAATCATTTTGACTTGCTATTTCCATACCAGCAAACCCTGTCTGAACTCTTGAAAATATGTGACTCGTACTTGAGCCACTTCATGCCAAGTATCCTGCCGGAAATGCAACTGGTTAATGACATTCAGTGTGACAACTGAAGTGAAAGCTTGAGTTCATTTACTGTGTTAGCTTTCCTGATGGTCAGGGAATGGGGTAAAGTCATGTATGTCTAAACATCTCTCTTAACAGTGTGTGAGATGTTTTAAAACTGTTCCTTAACCCAGATTTTCTCCATTTCATTTCATTTCATGGTATAAATGGCATGAAGTCCTAAATCACATGTGAAAGTGAAAGTTGCTCAGTCGTGTCCGACTCTTTGTGGCCCCATGTTCTATATAATCCATGGAATTCTCCAGGCTAGAATACTGGAGTGGGTAGCCGTTTCTTTCTCCAAGGGATCTTCCCAACCCAGGGATCGAACCCAGGTCTCCTGCCTTGCAGGAGGATTTTTTATCAGCTGAGCCACCAGGGAAGCCCTAAGTCATACGTGGTAGGTTATAAACTAAACAGATTTGTGGTTTTAAAAATCTAATTGAGTGTTCCATTTATTTTTATGTACAGGTCTTGCTATTTTGGAAACTACAGGAGAAAACTAGATTGGGGAGGTTTGGCTTTGTAAGTGGACATGGCTCAGATATCCAGCAACAATGGATTTAAGAAATGCTCATCTTCCCCTCCGGAATCAACAAGAACAAAAGATGTGGACAAAGAAGAAGCGTTACAAATGGAAGCAGAGGCTTTAGCAAAACTGCAAAAAGACAGACAGGTGACTGATAATCAGAGAGGCTTTGAGTTGTCTAGCAGCACTGGACAAAAAGCACAGGTTTATAATAAACAGGATTATGATCTCATGGTGTTTCCTGAATCAGATACCCAAAAAAGAGCAGTAGATATTGATGTAGAAAAGCTTACCCAAGCTGAACTTGAGAAACTATTGCTGGATGACAGTTTTGAGACTAGGAAAACACCTGTATTGCCAGTTACTCCTATTGTGAACCCTTCATTATCAGCCCAACTCTATCTTAGACCTGCTATTCAGAGAGGACAGTGGCCACCTGGATTATCTGGACCTTCCAGTTACACTTTACCTTCTATTTATCAGTCAACTTACAGTACTAAACAGACTGCATTCCAAAATGGCTTCAACCCAAGAATGCCTACTTTTGCATCCACAGAACCTATATATTTAAGACTTCCAGGACAGTCTCCATATTTTTCATATCCTTTGACACCTGCCACACCCTTTCATCCACAAGGAAGCTTACCTATCTATCACCCAGTCGTCAGTCCTGACATGGCAAAGCTGTTTGACAAAATAGCTAGCACATCAGAATTTTTAAAAAATGGAAAAGCAAGGACTGATTTGGAGATAACAAATTCAAAAGCTACAATCAGCAATCTGCAGGTATCTCCAAAGTCTGAAGATATCAGTAAATTTGATTGGTTAGACTTGGATCCTCTAAGTAAGCCTAAGGTGGACAATGTAGAGGTAGAGGATCATGAAGAAGACAAAAATGTACCAGATTTGCTAGCAGACGATCCTTGGGATGCTGTTCTACTTGAGGAGAGATCACCAGCAAGTAGTTACCTTGACAGAAAGGTGAATGGAAAATCTCTTTCTGGAGCAACAGTAACAAGAAGCCAGTCTTTAAATATTCGAACAACTCAGCCTACAAAAGTCCAGAGCCAAATATCTCAGGTATAGTCTTTTCTTACGAACTTCTCAAACTTAGTATAACACAGAATTCATGTTTGTGTACATAACTTAGTAGGTAAAAGAAATATTTTTTTATTTTGAGTTTTGTTTTCTTTATTCTTAAGTACACTGTGCATCTTAGATTGTGTGGTAAAGAATTAAATGTGTTTAGGCCAATTGAAAAATTAATTGCTATTAGTATCTTTTTCTAGGATTGTGAGTTTTAAAAACCTAAGGATCTGGCTGTTGCTTATAGGTGTTTAGGATAATTTTTATATGTCTCTCCCTCTCCATTCATTATATGTGGTCCTACTTTCTTTGCCTTAGCACCTTTATTTTTCAGAGTAGATGAGGAATTTTGGTTATTAACTCCATTATAGAAATTGTAATGTATATTGTTTTATTGTTTTTAACCATGAAGGAATAGAAGAACAGGAGGGAGGAAGGGAGGTGAAAAAGGAAGAAAGGAAGGGAGGCCTCATAGAGATGGGAGAAAAGCCATTTAAAGGACTCTCTTTAATATTGATACAAGTAAAGAATAGGACTGTAGTCTATATAGTATATTTGCTGAGTTCATATAGTCTTACTGTCTGGAAGAATTAGATAATGGTGCATGGAGCAGAATGTCTTCTCTTAGAAGAGGGGGCAGTAAGGTTTAGACTTTTCCTTCCCATATATAGTATACCACTGAAAATTTTTATTTTGCTCTTACATCATCTGTGGATTCTAGGAATGTTTAAGCTTCATTCTCACATTAATGTGAATCATATCATTCAGTTAATTAGATCAGCATTTAACTACTCTTTAGGCAGTGAGTATCAACTAGTATTTAGGGAAGGAGAAGCAAATTTTGCGTGATTTGGATGGGTTTATGTTGAATTGTTGATTTTTAAAAGCCATTTTAGATGTCTGGGGAGAAAACAGCAGATATTAAGAAGATTAAGAAAACAGGATGAGGATGTTTTTGGATAACATGATCAGAATCGAGAAAAATCTTAACCAGTGCAGTGTTTTCCAAATACATTTTGACTGCAGCTCACACTGAGAAATACATGTTCTTAAGTTCTCTTCAGCTTTTCAATACTATTTGCACATTTAGTAACATAATTTCTTATCACCTTTCAATTTAAAAGTCATGGGTTAATTTAACATTTTAAATTGGAATCATAAGTATAATATCAGATTATTTTCTCTTAATATTCTATGTTGTCTTGTCTTGGTTTTTGTTTTTACAAAGCATTTGTCATTTCCTAAAATGTTTGTAAGGAGAAGGGAAGACTAAGCCAAATCAAAAAATGTGGGGAGGGGAGCTTATACCTAGAAGTGGAATTGCTGGCTAATTTATGTTTAGCTTTTTAAGGACCAGTGATCTGTTTTCCACAGTGGCTGCATCATCCCCTTTCCCACCCCCACGGTATATGAGAGTTCTAGTTTCTTTACATTCTTGTCAACACTTGTTATTTTTCCATTTTTTGGGTTATAACCTTCCTAATGGATGGGAAGTGTGAAGTGGTATCTTATTGTGATTCTGATCTGGGTTTGCCATGACTAGTGATGTTGAGTATCTTTTCATATGCTTATTTGTAATTTCTTCATCTTTTTTGAAGAAATGTCTGTTTAAATCATTTGTCCATTTTAAAAATCAGGTTGTTCATAGCAGCTTTATTCAGAAGAGCCAGAAAGGGAGACAACCCAAATGTCCATCAGCTGATGAATGGGCAAGCAAAAATGTGTCCATACAGTGGAATATCATTCACCCATACAAAGAAAACAGCATAGATGAACCTTGAAAACATTGTAAGTGAAAGAAGCCAGACACAAAAAAACATGTAGATTCCAGATATGATATGTCCAGAAAACACAGATCCATAGAGGAAGAAAGCAAGTTAGTATTTGCTGAGGGATTGAGGGAAAGAGGAAATGAGGAATGATTGCCTAATGGGTACAGGGATTTGGGGGCAAGTGATGAAAATGTTCTGAAATTAGAGCATTTCAGTGTTCTTGCCATAATAGTGATGGTTCACACTCCGTTATGAATGTATTGAGAGCCAACAAAGTGTACATTTTTAATTGGCTAATATGGCAGATTTTATGTTCTATGAATTTTCACCTCAGGTTTTTGTTTTTTTTTTTTTTTTTAAAGAAAGACACTGGTCCCCCGATCCTCCTGTTGTGCTTAGGCCAAGTTCCTGCTTGATTCATATTTGGGTCAGTGTTCCAGTAGAGAGATCCCTCTCCAACTGGGGATCTCGTTTTTATGGACTTAGCCATGATGGCATGTGTTTGACACCATGTAGTCTGGATTAGGGATATCAGGAAAGGGTAGCTGCCTAGAACCTGGAGATCTCATGACCTGCGGAAAGTTGCAGTCTCTGCTATCAGAGATAGAGTTGCTTCTGGTCCTCTGTGGAGCTGAGTTTAGGCTCAGGCCTCCCACTGGTGGAAGACAGAGCCCCTGATAGCCCAGGCAACCCAGAGTGAGCTTCCAGGTCACTTTCAAATAATCTTCCTGCTTCTTGCATCACACTTCATATGTACGTGTTTGCATCTCTACAGTATATGCATTATAGCCACAATATCCTGATTATCCTGAATTTAATAAAATATTTATAAATGACTTTGGTTTATTTCTTTTTTACAATCACTGAGACAGTAGAGACTCTCTTAGAATCCTGTGAGATCAAAGTGACCCATGCCTATTTCACTGTTGAGGAAACTGAAACGTAAAGAAGTTAAGTAATTAATTTTTTCATGTAATAACAGTATTGTAATTAGTTAAATGAACTCATTTTAGAGATGTGTAAGATGATAACCATAGTCATCTAGTCTAACCAACTTCATTTCATGGATCCAGAAACTTAGATCCAGAGAATGACTTATCTCCAATTAATGTCAGTATTTTCTTTTTCAGTTTCTTTGTGACTCAAAACTGGTAGCATAGATTGACAATGCTTTTGCTGCAAAGCACAGCTTCCTTTCGCTGTTGCCCTCTATGGTTTAGACTGGTCATTTCTGGTTCAACTGACGTTTTCTCCACCCTTTGTTTGGTGGGGTAGGGCTGTGACACTCATTTATGTTCCTTTCATTCTCTCTCTGCATACATCTTTTCCTATTCATTTTTAGTATTTGTCACAGTATCATCTTGATATTTCCCAATTTGGGGTGCTTTCAGAAATCATCTTGTAGGACTGATGAGGACAGGTAGTTTTCTAAAGATAGGATTCCCCCAGCAGGATCTGTGAATTCAGATCACATGGGAGTGCAGAGAATTACTAGTTACTCAGACTCTAGGAATTAACTAGGTTTCTGGGCAAGTTTTAGCAGAAACGTATTCTTAGATTTTCTTTAAAGTATAGGGGAAAGGATCAAGGCGTAAGCAGATTGGTTGCGAGAGGCATGAGTCAAAGCCAAGTAAGCAAAAATACCATGACTTGATCAGCTGATCAATCAGAGATGGGAGCTAGATTATTACAGTGTGCGTCAGAACTTTACAAAATGACACAGTGTCTAAATTGAGGTGGCTTAGGCTTCTTAAAGGAGTCTAGCTATGGCATGGTGAGGTGTTACATAGTTGTTGATCATTCTTTTATAGTCTACTCTTAATACTTAACGTTTGACCACCACATTCTAAGAGGGACCAGTGAGAGTGTGTCTTGAAAAGGAAAAATTGTAGTGTTCAGGATCTAGAAGCTGTGCTATTTAAGGAACTGGTGAAAAGCCTGGGCATATTTTGCCTGAAGAAGAGAATATTAATTGGAGATAATTCACACTCTGAATTTGAGTTTCTTCATCTATGATATAAACCTGGTTGGACTAGATGATTTCTGAGATACTTTCAGGAATAATATTTTAAGTTTAGAAAGTTGCCATGTAAAAGGAAGTTGAAACTTTTTTTCTTTTAAAGTTTTACATTTTGGACATATGTTCTCAAAACAGTTCAGGAAATAGACTACCTGAAAATCATGGTATTCTTGTAAAAAAGATAAAGTAGTTATGTACTAAATTTTCCAATTTATTGTGTTGCACTGTACAAATTAAATAGCTCTTTGTGCTAGATTTTAATAGATAAGTGGTAGCAGGTGCTGAAAGTTAAAATACATTTTATAGAAAGCTTAAAATTATGCAAATCCTTTTTGTTTATATTTTTTCTGTGAATTGAGAAATTCAGTTTAGTTTTAAAATTCATTGTTCCAAAAAGTAAAACAAGGACCAATGGGGAAGAAAACTCAAGGAGGCAGGTTATATAGTTAAATATCAATAACACAATTTATAAATAGCCATTTGGTAATGGTTGCTCTCAGGGGGTCACTGTATAATTATTGGAGGTCTTCAATCAGAGGCTTAGTGTGAATTTGTTACAAATGCTGTAAATAGGATTTTTTTAACTCTTAAGATTTCATCATTTTGTTTGTGTACATGAAGATTAAGTTTGGTTTAATTTAGGCCAAAAGGGTAAACAGAATACTAATAGTAAGCTGACTTTGGAAGTCTGTGGCACAAACATTGGCATGGAACTTTTAATTTCCACACACCATTCATTTCTATTCAATAAACTTTTCCCTGAGATTCATGTTTTTTACTGTGAAATAAGATTGCAGTGCCTATTCTTTATAATTACTTTACGTACGTAAGTATTCATTTCCTGTAAGAATTTTATGCTTTGTGGTAAAAACTCTGAACGGTGTTTTTCTTCTCACTCAGCAGTCTTACTTCCTATTTCCTTCTAGTATCTTTTGTTCATAATAATCTAAATACTTTAGTTCAAATTTTTGTTTCCCAAAGGAAAAGACATAGTACTTAAAACTGTCTTCTGGCAATTTAAATTTAAATCACATTTTTAGTTAACAGCGGTAAATTTAACTACTTGTAGATTTCAGAGATTTTAGTAATGAATCAAATTATTTTCATAGAAATGGTTTTGCAAAGTTCTATGGCTATTGATTCTAAAAACTGATTATATTAACATTATAAACATTTATATCCTAATTAGCACAATGTCTAAC